TTCAACATTCAGTTCCTCAAAGCTTCTAATAAATTCTAATGAGACCAGTTTAAATTACAAAAAAGAAAAGCAGAACAATGGAAACTATCAGAGCAAAAAGACCAGTGATGAATGAACTCCCACAGAGTTGATTTCTACACTTTTTCAGGCTTTATATAGCTCCACACTTTTTAGAGTCAAATTAACCCTTTTCAAATAGTTAAACATTTAACACTGTGAGAGAGTTTCCTTTTCAACTCGCTAAACAGAGCTAAACTAACACTTAGGGATTAGACAAGTAACTCTGCTACGACACTTTTTTTACTACCTGGGGTAATGTTAGTTTCACTCCCTTAACCCATAAGAACCCACGGTGACTCATGTGTCAGACACTTTAAATTTTCTCCTTCAGATTATCAAATGGAGTCCCTAAGTGACAGATACTGAACGGGTTCATGTGACAGATCATGTGAAGCACTTTCCCAAGAACCAAATTTCCCAGATGGCTGTATGTCAGGTCATCACATGGGGCCAAATTAGCAAATTTTACAAAGCTTGTATTTGTTTCTAAAGGTAAGATCCAAGGTATTTAACAATTGTAATGCTTAAATAACATGTCTTTAATATATTTAACCTGTTCTGACCAAATTTCTAGAACAAATTTACATAAAACAAACATTGCAAGTGAACAAGTGAAGAAGAACCAACAGACTTGAAACCAAAAGAGAATTATTTTAATGGCTGAAAAAGACAAACATTTAACAACTGAATCAACTTTGGGATGCATATCTACTTGTCAGGAGGCAGGGGGTCTCCAAGTGTGGAAACAGGAGAAGAAGGGGGAGTTTGAAAGAAAGCATATGTTTCCATCTGAAAGTCGGCTCTGAAAGTAAGCCTTTTATGGGGGAAAGGGTACCTCAGTATAAATGTACAGCAAACATCCTGCCAGAAAGCACACGTATTTATCATATCAAAGCCCATCCATAAAAACAGTAAGATGAAGATACATTACATATGTGATATATGATTATGAAATTCACAACACCTGGTTGAAAGTGGCACTGAAATGTATTGGTATAAAATGTCTACAACTTCCTGACACCGCTCACCAAAGGGGAAGAAATATATGTAAAAGAATAATAATTATAAGTAAGAAATAAATCACAATCAAGATCTCTTTCAGGGATCTTATAAAAAATAAAAGTGTGTGAATATGGTTTTTTGAGGCTCCGGGAGTCTATTCAGGGTGGATGCACAGCAAAGCCTTTTCGTGTGTTCCAAATTCATGTCACCTTCTGTGTTCTCATAATGGCTGAGGAACTTCTCCACCTTCTTCTGTTTGACATCTGCCTTGGCATTGAAAAGCTCCTGGAACTTTTCGTACTGGCTGATCACATGCGCCTCTCGATTGAAGTTCTGCTTGTTCACTGACGACCTCTGTAGTTCCAGAGCGATTTCGTCAAGCTCATTCTGGATGCCTGCAAGCTTCTGGTTGACAGGCTCAATTTGTTTACTCAGGTAGCTAACCTCTGTGCTGTGTGGGTTGCTGAATAACTCGGCAGAGGCAATTAACACGGCCTCCAAGATGGGGTGAAACTTGCCCACAGTGGAGGCAAGCACGGCTGACGCTTTCCCCATCATCTCCACTCCATTCTTGATCATGTCTTTGTTTTCGGCAATCCAATTTGCAACGCTGCCCATCTTTGTATCTTGTATTTCACACCAACTGTAATCTGTCTTTTTTGGTGCCTGAAAGAAGAGAAGAAATACAACACTCTTGTAAAAGTCTATCAATGTGCTATTTAATGACAATTCTACAATTCACTTAGTAGACGCTTTTATCCAAAGTGACGTACATCAGAGAGTAAGTGCAACACAGGCAAGGATCTAGAATGGAGGAAACAATGTCAGTAAGTGCAAATGAACAGCTTTAAATCTGATTGGACACACAGGAGTTGACAGGCAGAGTACATAGGCAAAGTACAACATCGCTGGCTGTTCTTGAGAGTTTTAATCAGTATAGAAACCTACTTAAAGACGTTGTTTATCGAAAAACACCATCGTCAATACAATCATCATCATCAAAAATAATATCAAAACCATCATCAAGTCGTAGGTATTCATGAAAGAGCTGGGTCTTTAGCTTTTTCTTTAAGGTGCAAAGGGACTGTGCAGATCGAATGGAGTTTGGAAGTTCCTCAACAAGACCTCAACTCAACATTTAGCTGTTGATTTGTTGATACTGATTTCACTTTCATCAAAATGAAGGTAAGACATGAAGAAGGAAAGAGCAAGAGATAAATGTGTTCCTGTTTGCTTCAAATGAATTCTGATGAAGGTAAAGTTTAGTAGAAGTGAGAAGAGCGAAACAATGGAAACTACATTTTGAGGACTTTCTTTCTTTCTTTAATTTGTTCTTTAATTGAACCTAAAAAAATTGATCAAGAAGGTGATGGAGATGCCTGCTCAATCAGAGTAAAAAGAACTCACCTTTCTTGCTGGATATCCAATGGTTTAGAGTCCTGCTGGTCAGTCGTCCTCACTGACTACCTGTATACCTGTGAGCAGTGGTCTTCCTGGGATGTTTATATAGTGTCCCTCTACAACTACAATTCTACAATTCACTTAGCAGACACTTTTATCCAAAGCGACGTACAATAGAGAGTAAGTACAACACAAGCAAGGATCTAGAAAAAAGGGAACAATGTCAGTAAGAGCAAACGATCAGCTTTGAGTCTGATTGGACACACAGGTGCTGACAGGCAGTGCACAGAGGCAAAGCACAACATTGAGGGCAGTTTTTGAGAGCTCTAATCAGTATAGAAACCATCTTATAAGTCATCGTTATCAAACAAAAACAATCGTCACAACCATCATCATCATCAATAATATCGAGACCATCGTCATTAAGTTAGTAGGTATTCATGAAAGAGCTGGGTCTTCAGCTTTTTCTTAAAGGTGCAGAGGGACTCTGCAGATCGAATGGAGTTTGGAAGTTTGTTCCACCACCGGGGGGCGACAGAGGAGAAGAGTCTAGTCAGAGACTTAAGACCCTGTTGTGAAGGTTGGATCAGACGCCTTTCATTGGCAGAGCGTAGTGGGCGGGAGGGAATGTAGACCTGGATGAGAGAGTTAAAGTAAGGAGGAGCCGTTTTAGTCGCTGTTTTGTAAGCTAGCAGCAGAGTTTTAAATTTGATGCGAGCAGTAACTGGGAGCCAGTGTAAGGAGATGAACAGCGGAGTGACATGTGCTCTTTTAGGAAGGTTGAAGACCAGTCGTGCTGCTGCATTTTGTATCATTTGCAGAGGTTTGATAGTGCATGTAGGAAGACCTGCCAGTAGAGAGTTGCAGTAGTCGATGCGTGATATCACAAGAGCCTGTACCAGGAGCTGTGTAGCGTGTTCCGACAGGTAAGGTCTGATCTTCCTGATGTTGTACAGGGCAAATTGACATGACCGGGCAATCGAGGCTACTTGAACCTTAAAAGTTAGCTGGTCATCAATCATGACACCCAGGTTCTGGAAGGCTTTGTGGGCATGAGTTTGGTTCTTCCAAGCTGGATATTGATCTGTGGTTGCATAGAGGGATTGGCTGGGATGACAAGGAGCTCAGTCTTTGAAAGGTTGAGTTGAAGGTACCGTTCATTCATCCATTTAGAGATATCAGTTAGATATCAGTCCCTCTCCACCCCTCCTCCATCCCAAGAATTCCTTCAGAAACCCCTCAAAGGGATAAGGGGCACTGACACAGATAAAATCCTGTAAACACTCGACAGAGGTGCATGGACACCTAACACCCTGGGAAAAAACTTTTTCACCCAAGGCCATTGTCAACCATGGGCTTTAATGGCAAAGAGGTCGGACAGAAAGAATAGAAGAGGATGTTTGTATTGAAAATGAAGCAAGTCAGCCGAACAAGAAGAGCGCTTGGAGAGCATGTACACCTTGTCCCTGTGTCAGTCTCATCCCACTCATGACTTGTTTTTGAGTATCCAAAAGTGGATTGTAGATATTTGCAGGGCCTCAACATTATGTGACATGATGAGTGGTACAACAAAATGATGCTGGTAAACACACTGTGGAGGCACGAGTGTGATGTTACACAGCTGGAGGACCTATTTCCATACTTTACAAAGCTCTGTGTACATTTTGTTGTGTTGCACTTTTTGTTTTCCAGTCAATTGTCTCTTACCATCTGAATTCTTTCTATGTTGGCAGTTTTCTGCATTTTTCTGATTGTCTGCGCCCCTGTAGTTCTGCTCGTTCATCGATGTGACCTTCAAAGGCGTCTGTGGCATACTGCAGCATAAACGCAAAGTGTTCAAGTTCCTGTAAAGTTTTGTATATAATATGATAAATATATGCCCTGGTTTTGTATGAGAAAATGTATTCCATCTAAAACAACATTTCAACCAAAAGGTTGGCATTGTTTCCTGACCTTGTTTAGTTGCTTTCCCTTTAAGGAATTAAAAACCTCGGCCTTTGTTGTCTGCATTTATATAAAGGTATAAAGACCTGTGAAGATAATGTAAATCCGTCTGCTGCTGGCATGTGAATAAGTCGTCAAAAAGCTACAAGTGGTGGATGAAAATGTTCTGTGCTGCAGCTCACACCCCCCGCGCCGCCCCCCCATGTCCCTGCACTTTAGAAAACTTGAGCAGGGACCTTTAGCTCCTGGTCCATACGATTGGAAAAGCAGCTGCAGTGACTTTATTTCCTGCTGATTATCTGTATTTGCATGAGCCACACAATAAAAGGAAAAGTCAGGAGAATTACCTGCTCAGTCATATGATAATTTTTAAAATGAAGCTGCACCAGAATCTTAAATGATATGATATGATGATGAGGAATGATAAAAATGTACATTTACTTACTTTTCAGAAAATGAAAAACTACCTTCCAACCAATCCAACAACAGAGGTTATATCGTCTTTTTTGTTTGTGTCTTCAAGCTGAAAGATTGAATGAATTCCCTGCCAGAGGAATCTATTGACCTCCTTTTATCTTCTTGACCCTTTCCAGTTGCGAGTCTTTCCTGCTCACCACAAGATGTCTCCTCTGCACGCAGGAAAGCCCCCAGTGGCTCACCCCATGAGAGAATATATGCAGCATATTCTGGAAGGGATGGTGCTTGAAAACGTCAGTATCAATAATTCAGAGATAAGAAAAGGCATTTAAGAGATATGTACAGCATTATAATACAAAGACAAAGAGATGTGTGAACTAAGATATTAGCTGGATGAAAGATCAAGATAGTGGAACTAACTTTATAATATATGTATAAGTTAAAATAAATTATCTATAGCTGTTAACAAGATGCTGAGAAATAAAAATTATATAATGAGTAATATGTGCTAAAAGACATTTTCTTTCATGTATGTCCACTCCTCAGGATTACATCAGTTTGTCAAAGGATTGCTTCACAAACAGAAAGTTGTTAGCAGGCCCTCTCAGGATTTAGTAACCGTCATACTGGTTTAGTGTGAATCCCATGGGAAAAGTAAATGTGGGAGGGACTGACAGCTCTCTGACTACAGCTGAGCTGTAAAAAATGAAATGTTAGAGTGATGCAATGTATTCTGGATTGTGGGATATTGCCAAAGGCTAACATAAGTTCACAGTTTTTTAAAATGTTCTCCTTTAGGCATACAAACAGGCCTGCAGGACTCTCAAAGGACCCCTGTGGAGCTCCTCAACCTGTTTACATATCAAAAAGGTGGGAAAATCTGCAGCCTGCCGGCCCTGCAGGATTGTAGGTTTCTGAAGTTTGATGAACTACAGCATATGAAGAAAAATATGAAGAAAGATCACACAATTGTGTGTCATTCTTACTTGCGACAGGACCGTTTGTAAGTCACCCAAAGAGTTTGTTGGGTTCTGAGGGGTGTTCTGCCCTACCTTTGCAGGTACAGTCACAGTTTACCATGTTATTATAATGTATGATGTACTGATGTTACCATATCAATTGACCCCTCAGCTCCGTCTAACAACGATGCTGCTGTTATGACGACTGAGAAATGTGCCTATCAAGGAGCAGTTGTCCCCAATGTTTTACAAACGTTAGCATAATAATTGTTGATGAAAAAGACAGAGAACAATGCACCATATGATGCAAACCATGCCCAGAATTTGATTAAACCAGCTCCACAACCAAAGACTGAAGTGTTAACAAAATGTCTGCAGCTAGCCAAAAAGCTTAGCTTCTGCCTCTGAAGTCTAACAGCATCCATATTGTTCCAGCTGTATCTGCTTACGATTAAAGCTTTACTGCCTGTGTCTTCTTTAGTCTTTTATCTTAGGCTCATAAAAACATGTAGTTCCTAATTCTAGACCCTGTTGGAAGTTCCTTTAACTCTGACTCAGTAATTCATCAATGGTTATTCTTTTAAGCCCCCTCTTGAAGTACTTAATGTTCCCATCTTTGCATCTATTGCTTCATTTGTACACAAGTGTTTTTGTTCATAATGTATGTGTAGAAATGGACATATTTATGTGCAATAACTGTATCAGATAATTTAAGAAAAACCATGAGTGCAGCAGGGAGATTTTATTTCTAAGATCCTATGAACTGCCAGCTGAAAAAAATCTCCCCAAAATTAAACATGTCTACAATAGTGTATAACTGTGGCTACCAATTTGAAGTTGTGAATGTTATGATTGCCTCAGTGTTAAATGCAGACATCCCAGGGGGGTGATATTATACACATTTTTATAATAATACATGTCTTAAGTCGAAAGGCTGGCTATCTGCCTTCTGTAACTTAAACAACCCTAGCAACATGTAAAAGTAAGTAAGTGATTTGATATTAATAATGTCTCTGGTGGTACTATTAACATGTCTGACTGTGCAACCTCTACATATTGAGATTCTCACTCACTGAGATTATGCAAAGACTCCTAATTGTATCTAATGTATACATATACCGATCATGTGTTTTTGTAATCCCAGGCATAAGTGGATGAATCAGATAATAGATGAAGGAGAGTAAAAAAAAAGAGACTTGAGCAGTTACATGATTCCCAGATCTTAAATACATCCTAACAAGAACATTATTGTCTGCACCAGTAACCCATCCAATAGTTCTTTCAGACATTAATCTAAAAACCACAGATGTTATTGCTTTTAAAAAATCATTGCCGAGGCTCTGCTTGTCAACAGACAAGGCAGGCAACTGCTCGGGGTCCCAGACCAGTAGGGCCCCCCTAAGGGCTAACAGACTTAAACCAAAGCAGTGGACCAAAATGTGCAAATTTTGCAATGACAGTCGGAAACCTCCCTGTGGGGGCACCCACTCTGGTTGGAGGGCCCCACAATTCATTTTTGCCTAGGGCCCCCACAGACCCTAGAATCAACACTGTCTCATTGTAATCCTTATTGCCCAAATGATTTGAATGGCACATACGAGGTCATTATGTATCAGCATTCTAAGTTCTTATTCGTTTCTGAATTTCTTTGGCTTTCAAAAATTAAATTGTATTTGCATGTGTTATAAATTCTTTGTTTTAAAGGTTTTACTTGTCCTCTTTTTCTATCCTAAATCTTGCAGGGTACCAGCTTTATTTGTATTTTCTGTTTACAATCTTTTCATTTGCTTATGTCTGTAAGCACTTTCGTTAGCTCCCATTGTTTGAAAATAGTTACAGATAAGTTTGACTGGACTTAACTTTACTCGACTTAAATTTGGCCTTCAGGGAAATAAAATGTTTTGTTCATGAAGTGAATCAACCCTGAGCGTCAGCACACACTGTATTTTAACAGTCTGTAGTTTTGGTAGAAAGGTGGTGTTTCCAGTCTGAGTACATCCAGCCCTCTCACTTCCCTCTCCAGATGTTTCCAGGTCACAGACAACATGTTCAGAGACAGACTAAAACATCACTCGGGGTAAAGAAGTCACAGGAGGGCAGGGCAGCAGGGAAAGTGCTTCCTCAGTCCTCACTTCAAGGCCACTTGTCATGGAAAACAAAAGTGACAGACCTGCTATCAAACTTTTAGGTCATTTTTGGGAGAAAATTACACTTTTTTTTTTTTTTTAGCTTGAATGGACTTGGTAGTAATTTGATGGAACAAAATTAACATTATTGCAATAAACTTGTAATAAAATAATAAATGAAGACACAGGAGCATAAGGGACATCTTTAACAGTTCATACAGATATCATAGACCAACACTTAGTTACTTATCTCAATCCCTCGTTTTATTGAATTGTTGTGTGGAGTTTAATAACACAACTGAACTCTGACTGGCCTGAGTCACACAACAACGATCTGTCCGCACAACAATGACTCCGACAGCGACACACAGCCTCGATACAAGCACATCTGTCACACAGAGATCAATAAAAACTGGGGTTAGATCTGAGGAAACAGATTAAGGTTCAGTATCTGGAAGAGGGCGGATTATTGATTTTAGACAAATTACCCCCAGAGACATCCTGCCCTTTCAGAAGAGAGTCAAACCACCTTTATACCAAATGGAAAGTAGAAATTCAATAAGTCTTACTGGAAGACATTAACTAATCATGTTGTTGTACTGCTTATTTACAAAAAGCCTCCAAAATAGGCTTGTATGTACCCATTGAAGATTTTAAAAAAAAACATACTAAAGGTTAATCTGATTCCACACAAACATATTAGAATTACTCTTTGTGATTTATGGTTTCGTATCAGTTTTTATTCTTCAATAAATCATGTATCTAATACCTTCTCGTACTTTTCCTTTATTTTAAATAAGCAACACAGGCATATCACAGAGCCGCCAGCAGAGATGGTCAGCAGTTAAGCCAGGACATTGCAAGAAAAAGAAACGTGCACCTAATATGACAACTGCATGATATTGCATGTGCAGACTGCTAGGACAAAAAAGAGAGGAATTAAGGCAGGGGATTGAACATGTTCTACAAACCAGATCAATAAAGCAATTACAGCTGTAATTCACTAATGCGTTTGTGGACAGACAAATCAGCCTGGGGGACTATTTATAACCCCTTCCTGATGAGGAAACTCCCAGAAGCTGTTGAGGTTACACATCATCGTCCTCTGGCCTCCCACTAAAATTATACTGTTGCTTTTTTAGGAAACCACACAGTGTTAGTTACAGAGTGAACTCCTACACAAAAATGCAACTGAGAAAAAATATAGGAGTCATTCCTTACAACCAGACAGTGTAAAAAGATGGACAATATGGCAGAATAGAGCAGCCACTTCTTGTGGAGCTCCCCCTACTGACTGGTTGCAGTATAGGTCAGCTCTGCCTCCTCTGTCAGACGGGACATGAGTGAAAATAATCCTGTCAAGCGGGACACCAATACTGTGGCTCCACCAGCAGATCCCTACTATGCTGACTTTGGCTGTGACTTCCTTGCTTTTGATTTTTTTTTACGATTAGAGGAGTTGGAGACACACTGTCCATCTTTATACGCAGTAAATGTTCACAACTTGGTACCTGTCTTTACTTAGTTGCTCCTAAAGTTAAAAACGTTTTTCTTTTTTTGGCTCGAAAAAACATGTTTGTTTTCAAAATGTACAACTCTTCTTTTGTTATATAATATACACATTAGTCAAGAATAATGCATAAAGTGAGATTCATGGGGTTTGGTTTGAAGTGTTTCAAATGTACACAAACCGAAATACATGTGCCAACCCAGGTTCAACATCAAAGTCCTCGGTGGACTGGATTGTGGTTTCAAACATAGCTTTGTGCACCTACAGTCCTCTTTGGGAACTTTCTTCCTGATGTCCGGACAGACTTCATCTGTTTCAAAACATAGAGTTCAGACTGAAGGGGGGGGGCTGTGCTAGTGTTTCCCTCCAGGCCTTAAATTATTACGTCCGCCCCGTCATCTGATCCTCTATGTTTATTGAGGTTCTCATGCGGATTTGATGCAGACTGTGATAGATTAACCCACTGAAGGAGTGACGTGGCATTTCCTGGTCCTCCTCTCTTTCATTTCCTCTTTCTCACGCTTTTACTCCTTTACTCGGTCCTCCCTTGGGGTTATTATCCGTAAGTTCAACTCCCCTCTTTGTGTTGGACTACAAGATGAACTAAGCTTATAGGTATGGACAAAGAGTAAGGTCTTTTACCTGATTTTTTTGAAGTGTCTCAAAATAACACTTGTTATGGGTTGACACTATACAAATAAAAATGGATTGATTGATTGATAGATGTCTGTTACTGATAAAACCAAAGAGAGTGTGTTTTTCTCCTGTTTTTAGCAGGAATTTCTGCTTTTAGAGACTGGAGCCAGAAACACAAGCCATTAAATTCTCATTGAAAGTCTGCAAACTTTTATTTATTACGTCCTGATTAATAACACATGTGAAATGTTTTCTTTTCTTTTTCAGAACACAGAGGAGTTGTTGGACATATTAAAGGCTTTAACCCCTTCTGCTAAAGAAAACATGATTGTATGAGAGAAGACAGGCAGACAAGAAAAGATCTGCAGACTACAAATGAGGGAAAACAGATGGGTTAGCAGCAGAGAAAAAAGACTAAAGGTCAGGGTGAAGGAGAAAACACATTAATATTCTGAGATTCTTCAGTGATAATGATATGTGTGTGTGTGTGTGCAGCAGTTTACTACAACAGCACAGGGGGGGTTGGAGAGAGACAACATCGCGCCTTGGAGAAGAAAAGCAGACATCGATGGTATCCAAGGAGTAAAGGAAAACATGAGGGAAACTTTGAGGCTCTGCAGATGGCAGAGACACATGTTTACCATCCAGAGGAATTCGTCTTAAAAGCGTTGCTGACATGGATTCCCGACACATTCATGACACAGGCAGGCACATGACGACTCTCTGCACCACAGCAGGTTAAACTGCAACTAAAGATGAGACCAGGAACTTATCAGCATCTACTTACATACACAAATACAAATTATAGTGACATTGTTTTTCATTGGTGCATACCAACGAAAAATGTTGTATCATCACAGTACTCTGTCATGTTTGCAGGTTAATAGATTTACTCCAGCTTAACACTTCTAAAGTACACATAAAAAAAATGATATTCAGTCCACTCATGTTGTTTATTAAAAGTATGCATACATGCAAGATCATGTCAAAGTTTCTATCAAAAAAAGTGCCCTATATGTTCCTCTTTCACTTATGGGGTGGGGGGGGGGGGTCTCATGACAAGACATGACGTAAAAAGAGGAATGCGGAAGTGGCAGACACAAAGCAAATGAGTCTGACGTTATGATGGATTTTTTTTGGCCTTTATATAAATTTTATGTTATGGTAACTGGAGTTTTTTATATTTAATTCAGTATTAATAAAAAACATCCTTTTAGTGTTTTAGTTATTTCTTGTGGATCTGTGATACCTTTGCTGTGTGCTTTTTATTTATTTTTTTACGTCTGCGTTTTAGCCACTGTACCTTTAAGAGGCTAACCTTTCATGTGATTATTTCTCATTGGTTAATTGACAGAGGCGGCCATATTTGTTTTGTACATAAAGACTGTTTTGTAGCATATCTGTAAACCCTCCAGTGGAAGACAATGTGCTGACTGTGACTCCAGTTCTTATCTACAAGTTATTTTTCACATTTACGTCTTCAGTTAGTCAGGTAGTTATTTCACTGGAGTCATAGGAAACAAAACACTGTGTCAAACTTGGTGGCGGCCATGTTGGAAGACCTCATGTCTGTGCTACTGAACACCTGGCAACATTTCTAAAGGTAACACACACTGAAAGTCCAAATCTGATTAAGTTTGAGAGGCAATGGCTGCACACATAGAAGCTTAGTGACTAGCAATAGCTAGCTTTCTGTCAGCTGGGAACCAACATCACCAGAGACAATGTTAGCAAGCAAGCTAGCCAAAGAATGCTAACTGCTAACAACTCTAGTCAGAATCTATACATACATGTTATCCTCAAACGTTACCTCTACATGATGCTAATACTTTAGTCTATAAACTAAACCCTCAGATGGTTGTGTAGCTGGACGCCATCCCTGCTTACTGGTTATTTGTCTGTTCGGCATTTATGAGCATATAAACTTTGTATTTCTCTAAAATATATTGTACATTGTGAGCTCCTGGATAAGTTGACATGGTCATTCTGTGCTGAGGCAGTTTTTACATCATGCTGGAGAAACTTGTGTTAAAAACTGAATTTTAAAAATGATTAACCAACAAGAGGAGGAAAATTCACACACATAATCAGTTGTTTTATATAAAAATGCTTGATTTCACCAGGTGATTGTAACATAAAATAACTAAGAAACTTATGTACTGGTCTTTAAAATTTGATGTATTCTGAGTCTATATCAGTCTTTATTGGGCAAAGTGGGAGCTTTAGAGTTCTGGGTTCGGACCTGCAGCCAGTGTGTCACTGAACAAATGTTTTAATGCTTTTTATTGGATTAGTCCACTCAGAGAGCGGCAGGCCGGTCGATGGTCCACTCGGGCTGATGGGTAATAGCATTATCCTGTGTGGGCCGGGATTGGCAGACATCAGCGGACAGACCTATCTTACCATTGATCGTCTTTTCCCTCCAGGGCCACTCTGACGCTCGCCTCCATCCACGGTTTCATTTGTTTATGAAATATTGATATTGGCTGCTATCTCCAGTTGGAGACGAGGAGATTGAGTTTGATGGAAGCAGGGCGTGTGGGGAGCTGGGAGAGGGTTAATTTGAAGTTTTTTGTGAACTGAAAGTCTTTTTTTTCTGCGAGGGTACGTAATCCATTTATTATTTCTGCAATTGCATCATGATAGATTTTTTATTTCCTAAATAAATAAATAAAACTTGCAGCCCAAAGCCACAGGAGAGGAAGGGGAAACATCTGTGCCTGATTACCGTCAGTTCTCTAGTAAATGGTAGAAATCCAGAATCGAGTCATCAACTTTCATAATGTCTCACTCAAAGTGCACTTTCACTTTCACTGAAACAAAGCAAAAAAGCAAAAAAACCTCGAATGAATTGTCATTTAAATGTTCAGAAAGGAAATCAGTCTCTGAAGCATTCCAGACTTTCTTTGCAAAAATGCTCCAAAATCATTTTTCACATCTTTTAAACATCAGGACGGCACATCACAACATGGCCGACAGATGAAGAAAAAGATTTGAATAAAAGAAAAATTAAGCCCTAAGAGGACGTTCATCTGTACATTTTATTTTACCCTGCTTTCCTGGGAAAACGACTTAATTTCAGTCGTTTGCAGAGCTCTTGACCTTTTTATTTATCTCACCATAGCGAAGCAGCTTTTCTGCCACTGGAGGGAATCCTGGATAAGAGTGATGTCAGCTGAAGAATCAGAGTAGGAGCGTGAAGTCAGTGTAATTAGTTCTGTAGATCTGTATGTTAATAGCGCCCTCTGTCTGCAAACCTCCTCTGGTACCATCCCTTCATCAGATTTATCCTTTTCTTCCATAACGCCTTTCTTTAACCTTCACTCGACCACAGAACAAGCAAACTGTGGCTCTTGTGGCACAGGATGGATGCAGGGGGATCTGGTCGGTAAACAGAGGCTTCAGTCTTCCTATAATGACAGTCAGGATTGACGGGCTTCCACAGCTAAAGCCTTTTATGCAGGGGAAGAGCCTCCTGGATCAATAGCAGTTACCTAGGCAAAGCCCACACAACCACTAATGAATCCTCTGGCTTACAGTGCAGGCTGCTGCTGAGCTCTACACAGGAGAGAAACCTTAGAAATACTGACCACTCTTTGTTAAAATGTGAAAACTACTCCCTAAAGATGTTGGCTACCTTGATTTAAAAGACAGAAATAATGAGATTAGGATGATGCTACCTGACCTTATGATCAGACATTAAGAAAACATGCTATGTTGAAGTGCTGGCTTCTCTGACAATAATGCAGCAGCCAGTATGTCCTCCTTCTAACTTTAGATTCTGGTCCTGAATGGTCTGGATTTGTTTTGACCAGAGAAGGTAGGCAGTTTTAAGGCACCCTTAGGGGGCCTTTTTGGACGCCCCTCAGTTTGTTAAGCAACAGTTAGAGACTGCTTCATATAGAAGTGATTGTACCCGACCTAAAAAGCCTCTGCATGTTTCTAATAAGCTCCACGAGCAGAAACGTGCTCAAACTAGGATCAATATTGGAGATGCTTTTGAAAAATGGAGAGAGGTTAGAACACAGAAAGGTTTACAAACCAATGCAGAGCTGGCTAAACACTGAAGCTTCAGTGTCGTTGACGTTGCACCCTCTGTGAACATCGACTCTATAGAGGAGGGGGCGGGGGGGAGACAGCTCTCTCTAATGTTTTGAATTTGGACTGCAGTGCCCATTTTAAACACCAGATGTCAGAGTTACATATTGCTCCTTTAATGTAAGTATAATAAAAGGTGAAAAGGTCTATTGTCAAACAGCAGGTGTAGCAACATCCAGTTTCTGCTTTTTGTCTGATGCATTGTGTTGTGACATTTCAGTGGTCTGTTCTCTGGACTGGTTCTGTGGTGCGTTCAAAGTCAGACCTGTCGTCTGACACGCCCATCTCTCTGTCTGCTCTGCATTTTCAGCGGAGGATTACAGTCCTGATATTTCAAAGGAAGTGAAGTGTGTTAGTCATCCGTCTGGGATTTCTAATTATAAAAGGCTTTGTGCCAATAAGGTAGCAGGTGCAGCATCCTCTGTGTAACAGTCCAGAAGCATTTAGACAGTGACACATGGTCCTTTATGTTTTGTTTTGAAGCTCCACAGTCTACTGCATGTTGAGGACTAGTACGCAGAAAGTAGTGATATGGTCTTGTGAGACTCTGGATGATCAAGCATCAAACATATGTAATCTTTAAGGAGCTCTCGTTTTGTTTTGTCAGTCTTTTCTTGTGTATTTCTAGGTTTTACGATCTAAATGAACACATTTACGGTTGAGCTTTGTATTGTCTTTTGTGTAGTTTATGTTAAGTTTTATTGAGTTTTAAGACACTCTGCCTCGTTAAATGCTTTGATTTGTGGCATCACTTCACTTGCAGCACAATTGTCCCTATACAAATGAACATTAGAGGAATAACCAAATGTAACGTAACACCCAAAATAACAAAAAGCGTCAGAATACAACCAACAAATTAAATCTTCTACCTTTTGTGTAGCCTGAATAATTTGAATACTGGATGAATTAAGACATATTTTCCCATCTGGACAAAATATATCTCTTGTAGAATTAGTTTTAATCCAAATTAATTTCTTACTCAACAAAAGTGCAACTGAAACTTAGAACAACGTCACCTTTCCATCATCAGCAGGTCGTTTTTCTTTGCACACAGAGAAATCTCCGCTGATAAGACTCAGTCTGCTTCCGCCTGCACTGTGCCATTTTATACAGATAACACTTGATTCATTCTGACAGGCCTGATTTACGTCAGAGGAGCCGAGCAGCTAAAGACCCTGCAGATCCACTGAGATATGAAATGATGGCAGTCTCGCCCGCTCTGCACCTCCACAATGCATTATGACCGCTCCGTTCCTGCTAAGACAAGCACTTTGCTGCTCGTCTGCAGGGTATCAGCTCAGCCGAAGGTTATTCATAGACTATCAAACCGGGTCTGCGGTCAGGAAATGCTGACTTATGTGTAAATATCCATTAAATTAGAGTCCCTGTTGCTGAGGTTGCACTGCCTTATTTTAATGGTTACAGACACTAAGAGTGCTGCGTAAGTCAAAAGAAATGAGAGGCAGATATTAGATTAGAGTTGTTTACACATCTATTACAGATTTGTTTTCTGTCACTCCCTGTCAGAAAGATTATGCAGGACATGGTTCATGCACTGATTTTATTGTGAATATTTAGCTTGAACATAAAAGCTGACTGGTCTTGTGATCTTATAAATAATCATCATCTTGATATACATGAATGCAAACTTTCCTTCTTTGTCAGCAATTTCTGTAACAACATTTATAAAAGTGGAGCAATTGCTATGATAGTTTTCACCTCTTTTTAAAAATCTCTCGGAGAGTGAAAATATTTAAAATTCATATCTTAATATCACAGTGGTTTGTTAGAAATAAAAGAAGAGATGTAACTCAAAGAAAAATGTATCCTGCAGCGAGAGACAATCACACATTAATAAAAAACATAATGCATCACAATCATGTGGGAAGTGCAAAACAACACAGCATTTATCATTCATCATTAATTAAAAAATGCACAAATACAGATCACATCGCTTCTCATTCAGGCTGAAGCAACACCATTGGTTATGTAATCATAGGCACAGCTCTGGTTAGCAGTGAGGGGGTCCTCTCGTTTTGGTCTGAGGGGTTTGTATGTGTTTAAAACACAAGGCACATTGTTGCGTCTCCGCTGCCAAAACTGAGCCTTTTTGTTCTTCACGCCTGAAAGAGTAACCTCGGCCGTCCTGTCAGAGTTATGTAGGCCAGCCTGCTGAGCAGAGACAAAACGGGAGCACAGCTGAGGATGCAGCCTCAGCAGAAACACCTCTTTAGGAGCAGGAGCTGCTTCTCATATAGGAGACTGGATTGTGACGGCTGAGGTAAAAACACTTTGCGTTATAAAGTTACAAATAAACTGGTTAGTGACTCATGAATGGTACACAGAAACACTGTTAACAACATGCAAACAGTGAATAACTTGTTGGGTAAAACATAAAATAAACTTACATGAAATGTAAATTATCTGCTGGGTAAAAAGCTGACACAGGCATTTAATTCAAGTGCAGTAAGCATTAAAACAGTATAAAATGCAAGGCTTCTACAGGAGATGCACCTCAGTATGTGAACTCAGAGTATTCGCTGATCTTGCTATTTCAGCTTTTACCTTTTAAAATATTTATACCTCACTGCATCAATCTCATCTGAGCTGTTCTAGTTTATACCTAAAGTAAGATATCTTGCGCAACCACACACTGTTATTGAAAGTATGATACTATTTTAAAGATATTTTCATATTTTATACTGTTTTATAAATGTATTGGTCGCTACCTCATCAACTTATGATGTATGCTGCAGGTTGAATCCAACATGTGGCTCCTTTACCGCATGTCATTCCCCACGCTCTCTCCACCCGGTTTCTTACTTAATCCACGATCCTAAAGCCCAAATAAATAAATAAAATTGTACAGATTACGACTTACTGTTGTGGATGCAATAATTCACATTAAAAAGAAGGTAAACAATAACGGTCCCTGCTGCAAGACTTCAGTTAGCATGACTACAGTGACAAAATAATTGCTCAATTGCTAAAATTATTTTTAACAAGTGATATCATGTTGCATGTAATTCAGTCAGGAAATGCATACAACTGGAATGATTGAAATCTATGAAACTGTGACTAGGAGATCAAATCTTGGCAATATTTAGTTTGCCTATTTGGATCTGTATTGAAGCAGACTTCCATTTATCGTATCAGATTGGGGCAGTCCCCTGTTTTGAGATTCTTAATTTATGTCTTAAGGAAAAACTATGAACTGAAATTTTGAGAACATACTCTCAGGAGGACAAACTAGACGAGTCGTTCACAGCTTCACTCTGAGTGCACACACACCGCCACATTCTTGTGTCTCTCCCAGTAGTGACAGTCTTCCGGAAAGCTCCACGCAGCCGCAGACTCCTTGTGGCGGCTGACGGCGTGAACCACAAACCCGCACAGCTGCTTCTCCAGCACCTCCACCGCTTCCGGGGCCTTCCCCTTCTTCCCCGGGCCCTCCATCACCTGCCGGATGAAGTCTCGTGGCACCGGTTGGGGTTTGGAGCTGAACGACACCACCAGGTTGATGTTGTTCACCTGGAGAACCTCGAACCAGTTCTGTCCCGCCACGTGATGAAAATGCTCCCCTGCTCGCCAGTTCCGATACGTGCTGCCCGAGTGGTTGATGAGCCGCACTGACCAGTTGACCCAATCGTACTTTTTCACCAAGAACTCCAGAAGCTGCTGAGTCGTCTCCTGCAGGTTCTCCTCTTGCTTTTCCTGCAGGATGCGCTGGGAATCTAACTTTGCTTGCTCCGCAAATCCAGCGACGCAGGACTCGATAGTGGTCTTCATCCTGGACTCAACTTCTTCAATCTTGCTACTCCACTCTCGGATTTTCTCCTCTTCTTCCTCTTGGCCCTGCGTCAAGGCACTGTGTCCCAGCAGAGCGATCAGACCCAGGCAGAAGAGCTCCTTCATCCGGACACAGAAATCTTCCAGGAGGCGACGGTTCCTCGCTACATATCTGCAAAAAAAAGAAACCACTTGCATGTACATTGAAGAAGTCAATATGATGCTCCTTTCATCAAATATTTTTTTGTCAGGAAGAAGATTAATAATCTATATTTAGTATCTTAATGCCTGTTATAGTGTAATGCTGTTCAAACATTCTCCATTTCTCGGAAAGTGTTACCTTTGACATTTAAGTGATACTTCACCCATTGAAACATGAATCTGTATTGACATTGGGTCATATATGTAGTAGAAATGTGAAATAAATTTTGAAGTTGGTGCCTTCTTGGCTGAGAAAAGGCAGAAAGTGTCTTTTTGGCTCATGAAAGACACCAAATCCCAGAATGCACAGCACCGCAGGCCACTCCCACTAAGGTCCTCTAATTCAGAATCAGAAATACTTAATACTTATTAATCCCAGAGGGAAAATTTGATCAATACAGTTTCTCCAAAATATACAGTATAGCAGTAGAAATATAGTAATAAAAACATTAACAGACATATTTACTTCAACACATAAGGCCATTTCCTCAACTGATTCCGAGATTTCTTCCAGAAGGAATTGGTATCTTGGAAATTCCTGGCAGAAAACAAACTCTATGTCTGTGTCCATAGGCAAACAGTGAGAGCACCGACACTACCAGGCCGCCCCAGCTCGAGCCGGCCCGGGCTCCTCGTCCTCACCGCCGCTGACAGGCAGGCCTTATGTCTCGGCTGCTGAGCTGGCAGCGGCCGGCGGGGGCCAGCAATACAGCAATATAGCTGCGAGACAGTTGCTGCCGACAGGCTGGCCTTGTGTCGCGGCGGCCCCGGCGGCCCCGGCGGCCATATGGTGGCCCACGATAAAAAGCTTAATGCAAATGGGGGAAGTATCCCTTTAAGGGCGTAGGTTGAGATTTGGAGAATACTACACAAGCACGTAAAGGATAAGATTGGCAAAGAGATAAGATGCATGCTCTGTCCACAGGGGTCGCCAAAATCAACATAAAACAAAAGTTCATCATGGTTGCTTTAAGCTAACTGATCAGACTGCTTGACGTGAGTCTCCTTTAAGAGACGTAGATAGCAGAAATTACCTTCTGCATCTGAGTAAGTATCAAAAGGAAAAAGCATTGGTATGAAAAGACAACATTGAAAACGTACCTTTCCACCACGTCTAAGACCGACTCTCCGAAGCTGTTTGTCCCCATCAGAGCATCATACAGCACAAACAGATTCTTCTCTCCTCCTGTTTTGGAAAAATGCTCAAGAAAAAGTCGGGTCTTCACCTCCCTGAACTGTTGTTTGGCCTCCAAGATGTCCATGTATTTCCGGAACTGGTTCCTGACGTTCTCCTCCACAGAGAAGTACTGCGAGTCCAGTCTCCCCTTCTTGATCTCGCAGTCGATGTCATCCAGCTGTGCCGAGAGAACGTCCAGCTTGTTCCTCACCATGAGGAATTGCTCTTTGACATAGAAGACCTCTTTGCTCTGCACGTTGTCCAAGGCGAGGCGGAGAACCGGAGCGGCCGCCTCACAGAGGGGGAAGAGCTCGCCCACAGCGCTGGCCAACACCTCGGCCCCCTTCTCGAACATGTCCATCGCCGCCTCGATGGCCTCCTTCTTCTGGGCTACGACGCGTTCCAATGGACTGGACATGTTCTGAGAAGGAAAACATGTGGAGATGAATACTTGAAAGGGATTATATGGTGTAAACTCTGAAGGTATTTATGCAAAGTAGACTCTTAAAATGAGTTTTGGTCCAGGGCCTTCACCTGGTTTAGGAAGGACTGACCATTAACGATCTTCTCACACTTTGCTAATAAAACCTTAAAACGAAGCTTCATCGCAGGGTATTCACTGGTTGTTTGGCTCTAGAAGTTTCAGGAAGTTACACCGATGCCCCATGATTTCTCACTTACAAATTACAAGACTGTTTCATTTGCAGATTTCAGAGAGTCAGGGGTACATCGTGTTATGGTTTCACAAAATAAACAAGATTAGATGAAAGATGAGCGAAGAATTGTAAATGTTTATATTAGAACTTTGTATTGTGTATTTACCTAAACCTCTAGAATCTACACGGCAACCTATTTGAAGGGTTCTCAGATGAGTGGACCACTAATCTGGAACATTATCATATACATATTTATAAAAATGTCCATGGCACCAAATGTTTTCAGCAAATTAGTTTTACTGAAAAGAAATGAAGCTAGATGTTTTTCTTACGGTCTTGGTCTATGTTTCATTTTTTACATAAAGCACATCATAATTAAAACATAAGCAGAAGCTTTCTTCTTAAAGATCATTAAATACATTGGTGAATAACTCTGTGTATCTCGGAGCTGACACATTAAGTGGATTAATCAAGAGACAAACAGCAACATGTATAACAACTGAGAAAAATCGAGAAAAAGTTGTTTTTCACTCTTGACTTTCCTCCAGGGATTTGATATGTTTTCTAATCATCATAAACTTAATGGTTATTTGGAAATAACATCAAAAAGACAAACTACTTATGAAGAGTCAATAATTGCCATTGGTACGATATTTTGATCTGAATTGTTATATGATATTCAATCTCTTAATGCAGGTTTTCAATACTTTTTCTTTTATAAAACCAGTGTTAAATCCAATAATCCAAATCTAAATGTGAAGATATATATTGAAAGTTCAAATTTTGGGCTTAAAATAAGAGTTCAAATCTTTACCTTGAACCTGTCTGCTCTGAATTGATGATACACAGAGGTCTTAGAAAAGCTGCCCACCCGAAAGGATGCAGGTAATGATGTCATACAAACAAAATGGGAGCCTGAAATACTTAGAGGAGAAAATGACACAGATGCCCTTGAGTCTGCACGTGACTCATGTGAGGGCAGAGCAGACCAAGGCCTAACCTTGTTGAAAATCTCCTTTCATCCCATCTCACAACCTGACACACACACAGATAACCGAGACCTCTGAGTTCACATGTTGGAGTGGATGGAGACCAGCTGCTGCGTCACTAAAGGCATCCACAAATTAATATCAACGTACTTTTGTTTCTTTTAATCTTTAATCCCGAATTTGAGTTTCTATTTTCGATATGTATAGCAAATAAAAGCAAAATTGGACATTAAATTAATCAAACAAAAAGCTTTCAACACCCGTTAAGTAAATATAGGAGAAGAACATTTCATGTGTCCAAACTGCGTCATGTTAAACTCTGTCATACGCATCCAAGAAAAATGCGAAATGGCATCCTCTTTTGCGCACAGATCCCGAGAGATCAGCATGACACACCTTACTGCACAGTCAGCCCATATGATGGAAAATAAAGACATTCATCATCACATTTATACAATAACTGCGTTTATCTGTACCTCAGTGAAATGACTCTGCTGCTCCTTCACGCCTGATGAGCTCCAACAGCTGCAAACAAGTTTTTTTTTTTTTTTTTCCTTCAAGTTTGAGACAATTCCCACGGTTCTCTTTCCCACTGTGGAACTGAGGATGGGTCCAAAACAGGATCCAGAGAGGAAGAAGATGCGCATTCAGTATCTGCAAAGGAGAAAGAGAGAGGAGGAGGAGGAGAGAGAGAAAGAGAGACATAGAGAGAGACAGACAGACAGACAGATAGAGCGCAAACTGCGGGAGCTGAAATATGTGTGGGGCTCCATTTTGGTCTCAGTCCTCAACAAGAAAGGACGTGTCAGACTCTTGCCAACAAAAAAGGACCTGTTTTTACGCATTTTACCTATTTGTTTTTCCCCAAAAGTAATATCTACAGCCAGCTTTTTCTTTTTAAGACATTTGGAGCAAATGTCTTGTTGAGCAGCTCTGAAATGTCAGATGAGAATGCCAAATGATGCAGGTTAAGGTAAGACAATGTTAAATTCTCCTTGTGTTTTTAAGGGTTCAAATATAGCTGGATCATAATTGTTCTATTTTCATAAACACTTGTGGACTCATTATACATCCTGTACACACAAACACAGATGTGATTATAAAGTAAAGCTTGGACGTTTAAATTTGGACTAAGAATCAGAACCTTTTATTTTCATTTTGAGATGTTGATGTGAAGGAGGGATTTATTATCACTGTGTTTATTTCTAACTGCTGCTCAGCCTTGCGTGACAAATATAGATATATCAGATTACAACACACATTTTAAATCGAGAAGGTCTTTTTTTTTTTTATCATTCTTATCACCGTTTAATGATCAAACAAGGTCCTCACATCTCATCCGCGCGCACATGACGCGCCCTGTGAGCGCACGGGCTGAGCCTCCCCCAGCGAAATCAGAAATCTTTACGCAAATCTTTTTTATCCCGCAAACAATGCAGGTTTTAACGTCATTTATCCACATCACTATTCAATTTATACCAATGACTTTGATCTTATTTTCTGAAACAATTCCTGTGTTCTTCAGGTGAAAATGGATTCTGAAAAACGAGCTCGTGTCATGCCGAGAAAACGAGCTCCATCACATGATAAACGAGCTGCGTCGGCGTCTCACAGAGACTCACCGTGCATTATTCTGCAGAGCAGGTAAGAACCTCAAATCTTTGTCTCTCAGTAATCTGCTTTTCAGAAGCTTACAATGCACATTTTCCTGTTTTGGTTCCCAACTCCGAGCTGAGAGTCAAACCTGTTCAGCTGGAAAACGATGCATGAGGGCCATACCACAGGTACTTAACCTCGTGCCCATTTTACTTCACCTCAAGTACATTCTTCCCTTCTTTTGAACCCTTGCATTCATTGTAGATCACCTTCGCGCATGTCATGTAGCAGAACTGTTTGGAGAATGAGGCAGGATTTGAGGCTTGTTTATGTGGAGACGTAGATATAACAGATGTGATGCATTAGTCCTGCGGGCCCCCCTGGGGAGTTCAGTGAAAACAGGTGTACGGATTAGGAAAGTGAAGTACTCACGCCCTCTCGCGGACAAATCAGCAAACTGCATCTTTTGGTTCCTTCTTTAGAGCCTCATTGCTTCACTATCAGAGGACGTTTACCCCGCGAGATGTGACATTTGATACAAAAGCCTGAGAATAGTGACTTAATATGATGGAGTGATCAAACTGACGTAAGGAGAAAAAACCTTTGCATCAGAACTTCACCCTGTGTAATAAAAAAGCGTTAGAAGTACAGGATGAATCCCAATTTAATCAAACTATTTTGTGTGTGTGTGTGCTCTAGTTAAGAATGTACCATAAGCAGCTCAAATTCAGTAAAACAAATGCTTTTCAAACGTTTATTCAGATTATATTCAGAATTAGCCTACATTAAGTTTATTTTGTCCCTACTTTGCATTTTCTTTGTTGCTAAAATAAATAATCACACATTTTTATAGCTTAATTTGCCAGTCAAATAATAGGCTATGGCTTTTATAGTGTATGGACAACAATTACTCTAATAATGTATACGATAGTCTAACACACAGTCCCGTCCATGGCAAAGGTGGGACACGCAGCATTTTAATATTATGTATAAAACTTTAACTTCTGCTGCAGTATTTCTCCACATCGCTTTTTATCGTAATAAAGAAAGAGAAAACTTCCAAAAGTCTTTTACTCACTCGTGTTTATTTGTAGTGGTACATGTACAACCAGGCGTCAAAGAAAAGCAAACATATTCACATTGAACATTTCAATACAAAGCCTTTAAGAGGTTTATATAATAGTCTTCCATATCGACAGCATTTAGAGATTCTTTACGCAGCCTTACAATGAATGTGATGTAAAAGAGAAGAGAACCTTAAAGGAGTTCAGGGCGGAGTCAGTTACTGAAAAGATGAGGAAAGTAGGCGGGGCCTGTGTGGGATCAAAAGAGCTGACGGATAGAAAACCATTCATGACAATCAGATGTTGTTTAGGGATCACATGTTCGCTCTTCTCTCATTAATAACCTTGTTGATTCTTTGATCTGTCCTGCTGCAGAGATCCCCTTCGATTCTACTGATACCACCTGTTCACTAAAATAACAGATAAAAAAACATTTACAAATATTATTTAACCATAAAATGAAATCTAACCTGGAGCAAAAAGAACATTTTATATGACATAAAAATATACTTAAATGATTAAGACAAAAAACCCTCAAAATAAAGATAATAATACAAAAATGAGCGGCACATTTAGGCACTGTTGGTCAGAGGAGGACGAGTACGAGACGAGCCAAAACTTAGGAGACAAAAAAAAGGGATTGTTTTGTATGCTCTAAATGGCCAAACAGCAAAGAAACCCACCAATAGTTTTACTCATATATTACAAATACACTTGGTGCGCCTCGTGAATTTCCTTAAGGCAACAGGACATGTGGAAGAGAAAAAAAGAGAGACAGTGAAGAGTTGAAGGAGTCGTACAGTGACGGTTTGACATCCTGCAAACACAACATAACGTAGAAGTGTAGAAAACAAACACAAAACAGTCATGGAAGAAGAATATTAAAAAAAGAGAGAATTATATTTAGTGTATCGTTCTTTGGTGAAGTGTTTTACCAGATGTAGCATCACAAATATTCCGATTTTAAAGGTTCTTTTAGTGTTTTTAATTCTGTCACTGCAGTTGTTTACTGAAGACAAATAAAGTCGTCATGACAACAGCTAACAGAAATTAGTGTTAAATTAGACGAGGTTTGGCAGAAATGACTGTATATAGTGCATCATGACCTTAATGCTCCCTGCACATGTGTAACGATGAGCAGACAGCGGTTTGACCATGAGCCAATAATAAAATCTCTGTAGTTGCATTCATAGATATGAACACTTTGGGATGTTTGCTACGTGTTAGGATTGGTTTAATAGTGTTTTACTGAATGACAATTCTGCAATGCAAAGGTATGGCCTGTAATAGCTCCCCCTAGTGGATTAACATGAATATGACAGCATTAAAAACTTGCTTCTCGTTCCTGTGGTAATGAAAGCAGTCATGTCTCAGGTGTCAAGGTGTTTGACTGGTCTTTTTGCCCGTTTTATTCTTTTTCTTTAGTGTAAAAAAAATCTACTTTCAGAAGTTTAAATAAGTGCGTAATGGTTGGAGAAACATTGCAGTGTCAAACATTTAAAGTGAGACCAAGGTGCGTTTAGGTCAGAGCCTGATTCCACATGATGTTCGGACCAGACTGCTTTAGAAGGCTTTAGTGTTATGTAGCAAGATGTAAAGTGTTTAGTTTCCTTACTTTCATTTCAGAGTAGATTAACGATTCAGTGTTATGTCTCAATTCAACTACTGCACTCCGTCCAGATTTAACTCGTAATGTGAAGCGTTTTTTGTCAAGTTGAGCATGATCATGATATCTAGTCAATCATCTCTTCTTCTCTTTATCAGTCTGGGGGGCTTATGTGTGCATGTGGCTCAGAGACTGTTTGCATATGTAGGACGTTTGGGCCAATAGCGTTATGAACAGAATGAGACATATTGTTGCCCAAACCGCTGGATTTTCCAATCAGCGGAGTCAATGTTTACAAAGTGCTTATAGGGAGAGAAAAGGGAAACAAAGGAGGAGATGCAGAGGGAATATGGACATTCGAGTCCTGAAAACAAAGCATTGCAGAAAAAAAAAGAAGCTCTTCTTCATGCTTCCTATCTAATGGCACCGACGTAGAGCCTCCTGCATCTTCTCCTGCACGTGCTCCATCTTCTCGGCCCACTCCTCGCTCAGACCCTCCTCGTCGTCTCCGATGACGGCGGCGTAGCCCATGAAGGCGATGAGGCCGATGCAGAACAGGTAGGTGAGGCGCGTGCACAGTCGCTCCATAGTTTGGCGGTCGCCCTGCGAGTGCTTCAGGTAGACCTCCAGGATGGGCCGGCTGAAGAGCTTGGGTTTGCCCACCACGCCGTCGTACAGCGTGTGCAGGTTCTGGTCTCCCAAGTCGTTGGCGTAGCTCTCCTCGAAGTCGTCCTTCTTGCGCTCGCGGTGATCCGGCCGTGCCTCCACCATCAACATGAACTTCCTGAACTGGTTCTTCAGGTTCTCCTCCACGCGGCAGTACTGGCCGTCCAGCGTCTCCTTCTTGATCTGAACCAGCGTGTTGCGGTTCATCTGGGACAGCTGTTCTAGCCCCTCGTTCACCGAGCCAAACTCGCGCTTCAGGGTGCGTATGTCCTCGTCGTCGATGTGGTGCAGAACCACACGGATCAGGGAGCCGGCCACTCCAAAAATGGGGTTAACCACAGCGGCTGCCGAGGAGATGGTGGCTACACACTGCAGCACTTTGCACAGGCCCTGCTTCAGCTTGGCCCGGTCCTCGATGATATCCTCGTCCATCATGGTGTCCAGCTGAGCGGATGTTGATGTCACCGTTTGGACGTCTGTGGCCGAGAGAGGAGGAGAGAAACATCACAGTTTACTACAACTGATGTTGTCTAAGAACCACCAGGGCTCCAGAGTGCGACTAAAATGTTTTCTAGGTCGCACTGGTGCACCTGACGCTGCCCCGGGTGAAAACATAGATTTCTTTGCAAGCGCATCATCATCTCTCTGTGTTCTCCTGTGACCGAACTCACACTCATGGTAGGATCATATCGTGGTCTACTCTAAACCAATAAGAGACAGAGCTCAGGCGGGTCTTTGCCTCTGATTGGCTGTGGTCCTGTTCACTGCTCTAAGTTGTGTGTGTTTAAAAATTGCGAGCAACCTGAGCGCCAGAGTAGCCCAACTGAAATGGAAAAAGAAAATAAACGCGTCAAAACGAGGGAAAATGAAGAGAGTTAGAAACATGGAAAGTTTTTTCATTAAGAAAACTAAGCCTACTGTTACAACCAGCCCTACTACTGTCATTCCATCCATCCCCACTACTGAGAGTCCATCCAGCCAAGACACGGAGCCCTCGGTCCTCACATCCAGACTCAGTGTAGGTTGTGGACACCAGCGCTGAGCCTGATGATAGACTTCTTTTACCTCTGGTTATTGTAAAAACAGTAAATTCAAATGAATAATAACAGATTTTATTTACAGATGGTTAATTTTTAGGTCACCCAGAGGTGAACGTGTTGATCACCTAAAAGTTTCAGCGCGACATCATAATGCAGTAGCCTGCTGTTGCACCTTTATTACCAGCTTTCATCAGACCGTAAAAATATAAGTATTACGGAAATTTAGTTCTTATCCAAAAACGATATTACGCACAGGCTGTCCAATCATACAGAGGTCCGCTGGATTCATGGCGCATAAAAAGTCAGTGACAGAGTTAGATTACGATAGTACGGACACGTAGAAGAACGGACTTCCAGACTCATATCAAAAGTTGTTTAACTGAGTTTACTTAGTTGAAGAACGTGCACTCCACACGGAGCTGATCAGACTGCAGTGCGCAAAGCTGAAGGATCAATTCAAGTCTGTTGGTTTGGAAACATGTTATCATTTTATAATGCCTAATACTAAAATACTCGAAGATGACTTCGGTCTTGGCATCAAAGACACTCTGTGTGTTTGTGATAACTTATTCATGTGAGCAGGTTTTATCTGTAATGAACCTTAACGAGTGCAAACTGTGCTGTGGCCTGACACACACAGATCTAAAGTCTCTCTCTCTCTCTCTCTCTCTCTCGTAATGCACTGATCCCAGGGCAGGTAGAATAACCTGTGTCAAAGTTTCTATAACCTTGAACAGCAATATTAAAACATGATATAATAATCTTAAACAAAACATAATTACTGATGTTTTCTTCTGAAATGTGGTTCATTTAAATATTTCCATGTGCCAACATGCAGTTTGCAACGACAGAGTTAACCCCTTTCCTAATGTACTTTTACATTTTATGCGTTAACATGCAGTTTTCTATACAAACACCTTTTTTTGTCTTTTTTTTAAATCATACATTAGCTTATATATCCATGTGTTGAGTGCTAGTGAAGTCTGCAAAATTAGTCTGGCCCACTTGAGGTCTCATTTGAACAAATCCGGCCCCCGACAAAATAGGACTTTGACACCCCTGCTCTACACCTTATTCTTGTTTAAAAATGAAACTGAAACTCCACACTCACAGACTCAGACTTTGAGGTTTGTTCTTTGTCAATGTGTGAGTGTTTAGTGATGTCCCACTGTGACACTGCAAGTGTGAGGGCTCTGAGGTGGCAAATGACTCACTTTCTGTGAGTCTTCATATCTACGCGTCTATCTAGTTAAACACTTAAATGAAATCAATATAAATACACACTGGAAGTTGGCATTTCTACTGTTTAATACCTTATCTATCTCAAGCCCTCACAAACTCTACCTCTGCACACCAGGAGGCTTCAGAGCTTTGGCTTTAGGTGGAGATTTTTTCTCACCACTGTAACTTTGAAATAAAGTCATTAATTTATTTATTTAATTGAGGTTGTAAAACTAAACATGCAGGACGCTGTGAGATGTTGAAAGGATATTTTGCAGCTTCTTACATCAGAGTTCTTCTCTTCAAACTCACACAGGAGCCGCTTCCTGGTTTGTCACTGCGAGAAAGGGACTCTGGTCCTGATCAGGAGGATTCCTGAAACAAAAGTTAAAACAGAGATTCAGACACAAGAACGACTTCTTGAGCACATCAAACCTGCAAGTTGGGATTGTACATATTTTAGTTCATTCTTTCTCCCTTAACAAGGAAGTGAGCAGAGTTTTGTCCCCCTGCTTGTTGCTGTTTTCCAGCAGTGAAGGAGTTAACTCTGCTTCAGTATGACACAGCTCCTCTCAGCAGCACTGCAGCCTCTTTCAGCACCAGGCCGCTCTGCCTGTGTGTCTATGGGCCGAGCTGATAGCTCCTCAGCAGCAGACGGCATGTTCGGACGCTAGCAGGCAGCAGCTAAAGGGTTAGCTGCAAAACCAAATAATGTCACGCCTGACTGAGCTGTACGACTTGTTTGTTACATAATAGGAGCTGCTGTTCAACAAAGGAAGATATTTGAAGCTAGTTAAGAGGCTGGATTTGAACGTTTTCAGTCCGATTTTTAAGAGCTTAGTAGTGTGAAGGATCATACTGGGACGTTTTTCCACTAACACAAGCACAAACTAGGTCAGGGAAATCAACCACAGAGCCACATTTGGCTCAAGGACTCCTGTTAAATCTCACACTACACCTCAGTAAGTCAGTAAGAGCTCAGCATGCGTGCTCTTAACAAACTATTACAACATAGTCACAAAGATAACACCGGTGTTGTGTCAACACTTGGGACCCTAACAGCTGATGACCATTAAGGCAGTGCAAGTCCAAACAGGCCCTGAAACACACACACACACACACACACACGCACACACACCTCATGTAAGAAAAGGCTGTAATTTCTGTTTCTGTTTTGCTTCCTATTTTAAATACCTGTGTCCACCAAAGGGGGGCAGTAATTTACCTTTAATGACAAAGACGCTCATGTTATTCTCCATCTGGTTTCAGCACCACCAGTGTGGACTGAAAGCAGTAACACTCACAGACTCACAGGATTTAACCCTTTCTCTTCAGTATCACTTTAAATGATGCGTTCAAATGCATGAATTCAACAACAACAAAGAAAACAACATGTTCCTCTCTATGTACTTTAGAAAACTTCCACTTCAAATATTTAGTCAAATGAACTGAAATCTCAATCAAATGTTCCACATGTTCAAATGTTAGTTTTGCAGAGTGTACTTCTTTTTAACATCACACATTCTCAGCAGTTGTTCTCTGAGACACTCTCTGGACATAAATGTTGTATTTTTCTGCTTCATTTGCATCATGACTGGCGGTCAAGTCTGTTATTGCTACGTAGTTTGTTACTTGAAAGATATTAAACCATCAGTAAATGATTTGCCTTGTCTATTTTTCCGTCCTTGTTTTCACAGATGGTGCTCTGCAGCAGATATCTTTCTACGTTCTTCCACAACAGGGCGAACCAACAAGAGACGAAGGTAATTAAAGGGTTAATTACATTTCTTTTTCTACACAAATTACCTCTGAGTAAATAAAACCTTACAATTATTTTATACTAGTCATATTTTGAGATATATTTAACAAAAAAATGGTGGTATTGATTAATCTGACAGCCGCCTGCAGCTTCATTTTAATGTGAAATGGAAAATTAACCCTTTGTGTGGATAAAATCCTCCCCAAATCGACTCCTTATTCTTTCAATTAAAGCGTTAATGAGTGAGCTTGATTAATGTGTCATATTCTTAATCAATCTGAAGGCCACAGGTTATTAATGAATGATCTAATTGGTTTTACATTTTAATAAAATGGAAAGTGCTTCAAATTAATGACAGGTTACTTAGTATGAAGTGTATGCCATGGATCAACCAATCAGTGTCCAGCAGCTGCAGGAACATTTAAAGACAACACATGACACAACCACACTCCCACATCTCAGTCAGAAAGTCTCAGCCTACAGGTTTTATTTCTGCCTTTCTGTGCATTCACACAGAGACAGTCTGTCAGAAGACATAATTAATCCCATTAAAAATCACATTAAACTAAATTAGTTAGTTGTAAACAAATCAGCTGTTGAAGTCTAACCAGGAAGTGTCAGGTTACTCTCACCTGCAGTGGAGAGGCCATCTTGAATGTTTTCTATGATTACAGCAATGCTAATGCTGATGCTAATGCTAATATACTGGCTTTAATCTTTTTTAAACTCCACTTTAATGATGTTATTTACAGTTTAAAGACTTATTTGAACACGTGTCTTCCACTTCTCCATGTTTTCTGTGTGTCTGTGCAGATGACAGCCTGTGGCACTTCACTCAGGAAGTGTACACCCTTGAAGCTAATCTTGCTCAAACAATAACTACATTAATGAAGACAAACATACAACAATGGAGAATCTTCCGGACTTCTCTCTGTGTCTGTGAGTACTAATATAAGCACAACATCCCCTCTCCCACAGCACAGGGCCTGATAACTGCCTTCCTGCCCAGCTATGGCTCCCCCTAGCCGTGCCTCCATGTTTCCTTGTTAATGCACACCATAATGCCCTGACCCTCCCTTCTCTATCACACCAAATATACACCAAAATACACCTTAAAAGTTCAATTTATCCGTCTAAATATCAAATATACAGTCTCTGTGTGCCCTTCAGCCAACATTGGGCACCATTGGCCACAGCAGGAGAGAGGATTTCTTACCTTTTTGACACTGGCTCTGCCTATACCTCCCTCTTCAAACGTCCCAAGCTCGACAGCCTCCTTCTTCTTCCCAGCAATCCCTGCAAAAAGGACACTTCCATGTATGTCTAATGTGTAGGGGTGTCCAAATTGGACTTTGCCATTTATTAAGGGCCCAAAGAGCCCCTAAACCCCCAAAATGGCACATTTGGCCCCAAATATATATAAACTCTAAAATAAAATCTTAAAATTATTTTTTATTGGCCAAAAACAGCAAAGCCCACTCCTCATATACAACCAGTCCTACCCCCATATTTTCAACTTATTCTAGTCCATCTAGTAGGCATACAGTTGATACAGAAGCGCAATTGTCAGTCAGTGCGCAGCTGATCTCTGGGACTCTTTCTGTGGCTTTTGGTGCGTTTGCCAAGCCCTGGGGCATCTTTGAGAGACTCCAGATACTCCATGGTGGTATTTTTGAGTCAAAGAGACCCTTTTCTTTTGGACTAGACCAGAAAAATAAAAAGACAAACATTTACAAGCGCGTAGAATCCAACAAGGCTCAAAGACCGCTTTGGATCCAAATTGACATCTCCAAATGTGCACAGGTGTATCCAAAGGCACAGGGAGCTCTCCAAAGGCCCAAGGACGAAATGTAGGAGTTTTATCCAGCATTAAAGGTATTTAAAATAATAATTATGTTCAAATTCACAGATTGCACTTCAGCTAAAAAGCTAAAACTAAGAGAATATCGAATTAGTGGTCCATTTTAAAGCAGAGTGCAGTGAGGAAAATGTACCAAATGGCGCAAGTGGCTTTACAGCATTCAAAGCTAATAATTCAACTATTTTAATATAAAAAAATACTAAAAATGAATGTTATAAAACGGACAACACTCTGACATGGCTCACGAATTACTATGACTGCATGTCCAGCCAAAAGTAACATGAAACAGTCAAAACCCTGAGCAGTAAACTCACCTTCTCATTGCGCCACAGCAGTCTTTCTGCTAGTCCTGTCTGGTCCTTTATTCAGGCTAAAATAAGAATAAATGAATCCTCGTAGAACAAAATACTTAATGTAAATCCTCTGCAGGCGAATCCAACTAATTATTTGGTTGGTGGATGACTACGCCGGCGGTTGAGACTGTTTTCCCCAAAATAAACCCCCTATGCAAATCATGTTAGCATCTCAGCCAGCAGAGCGTTAAAGGACAAACCTGTTCCCTTCAGAGCCTGCTGATGTCTATGTTTACGTCCGAGCTATATTTCAACAACACATAGTCATATAGGATGGGTGTAGGCTCCTTACGTGTCCAGACCTGAGTTTAGGACCTCGCGTCCCCTCTCTGAGACACCGAGCCTCAGGCAGCAGCAGCATAGAAGAGAAGCCTTGTCCTCAATGCTGGGGTTCAAAGCAAAAATAGAAGAAGAAAAAAAACCGAATAGTGTCCGTTAGAAATGACAAAGCCTTCGTTTATCTGCTCACACATCGCTCAGACCTAACGTGCGCATGTGTAGCCTGTCAGCACCAGAGCACAGCCGGAGCTGCAGCCGGACGCACGCCTGTCCTCATTGTGCAAACACCGCTGCAGCTGTCAAACAGGTCATATTTCACACTGAAGGCACAGTGTCCTATGATATGCGACATCAGATGTCTGTGGCCAACAGGTGTAATGTGGAGGCTCCAGGGTGACAGACAGCCTCTCCTTTTTTTTTTTTTTTTAGCTGGGGGGCACGAGGAGCGCTGTGTCGGTGTGTAGCACCAATAATGAGCCTGGAGGCAGTGAGCTGCATAATACTGTATGAACAAAAGGCTCTGGGCTGTGGGTACAACTTAACAGGAATAGACTTTATCCCAGACTCCCTCTTATTTGAATGTATTATGTCTACTCATTTCTTTTATTTTATTTTCTAGTATAAAACGATGCATTATTCGCTCACTCCAGCACGTGCCTTATTTGACAACAGAACAAGCCTGTGAATGTGTCAGATTTCATTCAATGTGATGAGAGCAGCTTTTAAATAAAATAATAATTATGAAGAATGGAAATCTTGTTTTTCTTTAATTGTGCATGTTTTGGGTTGTAATGGTTTTATTGAAAGACAACACACAATAAAATAGAGTCACATGTAAAACATGAATGTGCTCTTTCTTTTGGCCTGTACTCCGTGTAATCATCTTTTGTATCGTCTTGCATTTATTTATTTATTGACGTTTTAGAACATGTCAGAAGTCAGTAAGTGCATTTTTGCTTAAGTATTCATGAAAACATTTTATTTAACCTTTATTTATCCAGGCAAGTCCCATTGAGATTAAAAACCTCTTTTTAAAGGCAGTCCTGGCCAAGAGGCAGCAAAAGTTACACAGTCACACTCACAACACACAGACAGCAATTAAAATGATAAAAAAAACAATTAGCAATTAAAATGATAAAAAAACAGTTACAAGTAAAGGAGGTCGTCTCAAGTGCTCTCAGCCTGGATTTAAAAGCATTCAAAGAAATCAGTTCAGTTATTTTCCAGTCTTTTTGCAGCATGTTCCATGTAGAAGGAGCAGAGTAGACGAAAGCCCTTTTTCCCAGCTCTGTGCGGGCAAATGGAACCGACAGCAACAACTGATCCATTTGAACGCAAACCGTAAGAATCAACAGTTCTCCGTGTGATTAGGTTACAGATGTAGGAGGGCAGTAGTCCAAGCATGGCCTTGTAAATAAAAGTGCACCAGTGTCCCAGCCTCCTGGTGGACAAAGAAGGCCATCCCACTCGAGAATACAGTTCACAATGATGGGTCAGGGCTCCACAGTTAGCAATAAACCTCAGAGAAGCATGATAAACAGCGTCAATCTTACTTCGACATTTAGCTGAGGCATTCATACATCAGGTCTCCATAATCTAAAATGGATAAAAAAGTTGCAGTGACAAGCCGCTTTTTCACCTCAAAAGAGAAACAAAATTTGTTTCGGAAGAAGAAACCCAATTTAAGTTTCAGTTTCTTCACAAGATTGTCAGTATGGGGCTTGAAGGTGAGGGAGTCATCAAGCAAGACACCAAGGTATTTGTACATGTGAACCACCTCTATGACATTTCCTTCAAGAGTGGACACTGTGGGGACAGTTTGAGGTTCTTTCTTAGTGTTAGTCCTGTTTGAGAACAACGTTAGTTTAGTCTTGTCAGTGTTGAGGACTAGTTTTAGCTCCAGGAGTGTGTGTTGGACCACATCAAAAGCTTTCTGCAGAGATTCTACAGCTTTAGCAGGAGCTGATCCGAAACAGTAAATAATTGTGTCATCTGCATAAAAATGCATGTTAGCATCGAACACATTTTTTCCCAAATCATTATTATACATAATTACCAGGAGGGGTCCTAATATCGAACCCTGTGGCACCCCCTTGTGGACACTCACAAATTCAGAACACAGACCATCATATTTAATACACTGAGTCCTGTCACTTAAATAATTTGTGAATCAGGAAACTACATGATCTGACAAACCCAAACAAAGAAGCCTATACTTTAGAACAGCATGGTCCACAGTGTCAAAAGCTTTTGACAGATCAATAAAAAGTGAAGCACAGTACTGCTTTTTATCAAGAGTAACAAGTATATCATTTATCACTTTTGTAGCCGCAGTGATGGTACTGTGCTTTTTCCTGAAGCATGATTGCAGTTTTGAGAGAAGATCATTTGAGGTTACAAACTCTTTTAGTTGATCACACACAAGAGATTCAAGAATTTTTGACAAGACACACAAATTTGATATTGGCCTGTAGTTAGTTAAAGCTGCTGGATCACCTCCTTTTAATAATGATTGGCTGGACCAGAGAGGTAAATTAAGAAATGTGTTTGACTGAGACAAATGTAAACAGGTATGATTCTCTGATTCAGCAGGGAGACATGACTATATTTAAATCATCTTGTATTTATTAACTGTTCAAAGAAAGACACATTCATACATTTTGATTCCAGTCAGTAAAAAAAAACAGTGAGTTTTTCTTTATTTATCTCAAACCCAACGATGCTGAGCTCTTAACTTGACCCTGATGAAAAAATTGTAGTTGCACATGTTCGACTCCAGGGGGTGCTGATGAGTTATACATGATAATAGTTTAATATTGTCTCAGAAAGAATACATTCATTTAATCTTTATTAGCAGTTTGCATTTTGTACTGGCATGCAAATCAGTAAATCAGATATGCTTAAATTAAAGAAATAGGAAACATTAAGAAATCAGTTGTTATGGTTAAAGCAGTTTAGTTCTCTGGGAGGTTTGGTTCATAATGCAACTGTTTAAACAAAAAAAGGCTGATTTAAAGTTTAAACTGTTCAGATCAAATCAGAGAACAGGAGAGTGATCCCACCACCACCAGTACAAATATAAAAAGAGTAAACATCCATCCCTTGGGATCAATAAAGTATCTATCTATCTATCTATCTATCTATACAGTCCAATGTTCAGCGGAATGTAAAACCTCTTCTGCTGCACATGATTCCTCCAGTGTTGGTGTGAGATTCTCCTCTGCTCGGCGCCAGTGTTTCTCCAGTCGGCTCCATGTTCTGCAGCCGAAACTGTGAGGGATCAGTCTGGTGGCGAGTGATTTTTCGAGCGTAGTACCTCCTGGATGCGGCTCGCCACGCCTCCCTCTGCTGCGTCTGAGTGTCGCCAGGTGACTCCGATATCAGCGCCTTCCTCCTCCTTCCCACGAACGAGATGGGCTGCGAGTAATGGGAGTCCATGATGTGAGGGGGCCGGAGGGGGGCGGGGCGTAAGGGGTTTGCCTGTTGGCGGGCCACTTTTCGGGCGTAGTACCTCCTGGACGCTGCTCTCCAGGCTGCACGCTTCACTTTCTGAACCTCCTCCGGCAGCTCCGACATCGGCACGTTCTTCTTCTTGTTCCTGAGGAGGCGGAGACAGGTCAGTATGTGTCACACAGATAAGAAGATACAGATACACATTTATTTTCTATTAGTTTGTTCACAAGTCTTCAGGTGGGTTTATGATTAGTTGACTAGTTTTTAAACCCGTTATCCTGCCTCTTTGCTGGTTGAATGTCAAGAAGGAAATCATGCTTTAAATCCTAAATTTCTTATCTTAACCAATC